CGTCATTCCTTCTGAACTGAGACATGGCCAAAGAAGGGTGGTATCAGAGGGGACGGCAGGTGCAAAGGCTGTGGTGGGGTCATGCTGGGCATTTTCCAGAGCAAGTGACCGATCCATGGGCAGAGAGAGAGAGAGAGAGAGAGAGAGAGAGAGAGAGAGAGAGAGAGAGAGAGAGAGAGAGAGAGAGTGGTTGGACACGAGACTCAAGACAGCTGGGAGCCGACGCAGAACCTGAACCTGGTGTTTCATTCTAAACCTGACAGGAAGCTACTGGAGGGTTGCTGTATATATACATGCATGCATATACTTAAAATAATAGTTTTAATTACAAGTGTCTGTCTGTCTGTGCACATGTTTATGAGTGCCTGCCAGAAGAGGGCGTCAGATCCCTTGGAGCTGGAGTGACAGACCGTTGTGAACTGCCTGATGTGGGTGCTGGGAACTGAAGTCAGGTCCTCTGCAAGAGCAGTGTGTACTCCTAACTGCTGAGCTATCTCCCCAGCCCCAGGCATGCGCTTGTTTCAGATTTGTTTTTATGTGTATGGATGTTTTGCTTGAATGTGTGCATGTATGTGCACCATGTGCATACAGTGCCCAGAGAGGCCATAAGAGGGCATCAGATCCCCTGGAACCGGTCATTGGTGGTTGTGAACTGCCATGTAAACACTGAGAACCAGACTCAGGTCCTCTACAGGAGCAACAGAGCTTCTACCCATGGGGCCAGCCAGCTCTCCAGGCCGTGTGTGTGTGTGTGTGTGTGTGTGTGTGTGTGTGTGTGTGTGTGTGTGATTTACTTATTTTTATTTTATGTGCATTGGTGTTTCGCCTGCATGCGTGTCTGTGAAGGTGCCGGATTCCCGGAGACTGGAACTACAGACAGTTGTGAGTGGCCATGTGGGTGCTGGGAATTGAACTCAGGTCCTCTGGGAGACCAGCCAGTGCTCTTAGCCGCCGAGCCATCTCTTCAGCCCCTGGATGTATATTTTCAAAGAACTGTTCTTGTTGCTCTGTGTTCAGGCAGGGTGGAAACAGCAGATGCGTAGAGGAAGCTGCTGTGGTCCTGAAGGAGGGAGGTGATGGGGCCTTGGATGAAGAGCAGGAAGAGGAATGGTGAGGTTGGGGAGACATGGCCAGGTTTGGGTTACATTTGAAAGAGATCCACCGCCAGTCCCTGAGTTGGGATGTGGGACTAGGAGAGGAAGCGGGCTGCTCTGAGTTTTGGTGGGAGAACAGGAGGGCAATACAAGGCCTGGGGGTTAGGAAAAACAACGCAACAAGGATTGGCTTTGGAGACATTCATTTTGAGATCTCTTGTAGATACGAAAATGGGCTATCTGAGCCTGCAAATCCCAGAGAGACCCGGAGGAAGAGCCGGGCATGCGGTAGATTGCTCTGTGGCTGTCACCTGACCCTGCAGGCTTCTCTCAGGTCCTCCAGTGCTTTGTATTCTCCTACCTCAGGGCTTTCACACATACTGTTCCTTGGCTAACTTCTGTTCCACCTAATAGTTCCAGTTTTAGGGACCCAGAGGCTTCCCTGCATTCTCTGTTGACATTAGAGTTCCCTAACGTGATCTGGTCACACCTTCTTGTGATCATGGTCATGCCTTCTTTCTTCTACTGCATTATCTGTGTTTGCAATCATCTGTGTTTGCAATCAGGGTCAATATTGGCCAAATTGAGCTGGATTCCTGCTCAACTCCTGGTTGGTCAGTACCCATGTCTGCTGCGTGTTTCAACCCCAGAGGCTTCCCTGGCTTCCCACTGCATTCTTGTGCTGGGGACATGAAAAGGCCTTTACAGGGATGATAGCCACTGAGCAACAGAAGGGCCACGGAACTGTGCTGCCAAGGCCTGTGTCCCAGCCCACCGGAGACCTCACATGCATGAAGGCCATGCTTTCTGCTGCCATCCCTGCTCTGAAGAGCTTAGTTATTTATTCTGGAGTAAAAATAATATGCATTTCCCAGCCCAAGGACCCAGCCTTGAAGCTAGCCTTGAGAAAAGAAAGCCTCCTTGCTCCACAGCTCTCAACAGAGCATTGCTCTGGGTCAGGGCCTGATCTGAACCCTCCCTGTAATAACCTGCTTTGGTGCAGAGGTCAGATCTGGGGTGGTCCGAGAAGGACAACCAAGTCAATGCTCTGGGCAGAAAGTGTGGGATGGCTCTTCCCAAGGCTGGAGTGTGGGAAGTGCTCCTTCAGTGGAGAGGCCATCTTCCCTTCCTTAGTTTAGCTTGCTCATGGAGACCGTGAGACAAGATTGGAGGGAAGTAGGTTCTTGTCCTAGTAGCTTGGGTGATCAGGTTTAGCCTCAGAGACGATGATAGTTAAAGAGAAACTTATACATACAAAAAAGTCATGCCATCCATCCCTCCCTCCCACCTCCACCCATCTGTCCATCCATTTCTCCATCCATCTATCAATCCACCCATGCATCCTTCTGAACGTATATCCTCATCTATCATCTATCTATCTATGTGTCTGTCTTGTCTGTCTGTCTGTCTATCTGTCATCCATCCATCTATCAATCCACCCATGCATCCATCTGAACATATATCCTCATCTATCATCTATCTATCTATCTATCTATCTATCTATCTATCTATCTATCTATCCATCATCCATCTAACTACTTATATCCATCTATCCATCATCCCTCCATCTCTCCATCCATCAACCCATCTATCCATCCATCTACCCATCTTATCCATCTGTCTAGCTATCCATTCATCCATCCAGCTGCCCAAACATCTCTCTGTTCAGTTATCTAGCTATCCACCCAAGCTCCATTCATGAGTACATATGACCACTGTACATAAAGCCGTGAATGAGGTAGTCATGGCCCCCACCTTAGTGGATCTCATAAGTCTTTGGAGATAAAATTCTCTGATTGGCCAGGTCCAGGCATTTCCGCCTTTTCCTTTTCAGGCATAGTGGGACAACTGTGTTGACCTTTCTACCAAGATCACATTAAAAGCAGCTTCCCAGTGGCTGGAGTATAGTTCAGTGGTGGAAAAATTGCCTAATATTCCTGAGGCTCTGGGTTCAGTTCCCAACACTGAAGAGAAAGTAGCTTCCCAGATAAGCACCCCGGGGAGCTGTTACCAGAACAGAGGAGAAAGGAGTCTGGGCAGGCTCAGGCAATGGCTACCCAGAAGCATTTAGTCATCACGGATGGGGCAGAACAGTGTTCTGAACCTGTGGGTCATGACCCCCTTTGTGTCAAATGACCCATTCACAGGGGTCACCAAACACAGATGTTAATAATTCATAACAGTAGCAAAATTACAGTTATAAAGTAGCAATATAAATAATTTTATGATTGGGGTCAGCGCAAAATGAGAAATTGTATTAAGGGTCACAACCTTAGGAAGGTTGAAGACCACTCGGGGAGAGGGATAGGAAAGACTGGGAAAGACTGGGGGGATGGGTGAGGATCCAAGAGCTTTTCTTCATCTGTACAGCTGTGTCTGACACAATGTCGGAGTCTGACCTGAGAAGATCCATTTCCTTCCAGAGATGTGGATAGCCAGGTCTTGGTTGGAGTCTGAACCAGTTGCGGTCACCTCTGGCCTCTCATTTTTTTTTTTTAATTCAGACGCCAGAAGCCCATGACCAATTTTTAGCATTCTGGTTAAATTGGTGCCCGGTGGGGCTGGGGAAGCTGAGTGTTTTGACTGGTCTCCAGGAGGTTCCAGTGTGTTCCTGGGTGTTAGGAAACCCTGCTCTGATTGCGCTTCTTTGTCCCGTGACAGGGGCAGAGGGACGGTCTTGCACACAGCATCTCAGCATTTGCAGCAGGCACTCGACAAACATTTGTGGGAAGAATGGCGAGGGTTGTTCCTTTGTTTTCAGAGTCGAGTTTCTGTCTCTGTAAGCCAGGCTGACCTCAGACTTGAAACAATCCTACTGCCGCTGTGTCTCAAGGTGCTGGGATTATGGGCGTGTGCAATTACGCCCAGATCGATGATGGATAGCTTGAAAGCAGACCCTCCAAGGTGGAGAAGAGGCTCCCCGTGAAGAGCGCCCCCTGTCATCAAGCCTGGGTTGTGACCAGGACCCGAGGACCCCTCCCAGCCAGACTTCTGATTCCCTAAAGTCTTAATAACTTCCTCACTTATGGCCCCATATAAAGGCCTGGCCTTTAAAGGTTGTTCTAATGGTTGTAACCGGCCAGGGGCACCAGGGACCACTAACCGACTCTTACTTGCTACCTTGTTTCTCCATTTGAGAAGTTGCCTGGGCCTGTCACTCAGGCTCACTGGAGGGTGGCCTTGGGTTCCGATGGATTCAGCAGTCACCCCACGTTCACCTTGGGGGCGTGATCAAAAATCCATATTCCTGGGCTGGAGTCCAGACTTAGGGAACCAAAAGCCCTGGGGAGGAGCCTGGCAATCTACATTTTACATCAGCCGGATGTACAAGTTACCTGTCAGCCCTGCCTCCCACACACCAGACCACTTCCTGTTCTCACTACCAGGACATGGTCCCCAGATCGTCTTCAATCAGACTCTTCGCATGTCACTTCCCCCTGGCGCCAAAGCCTTCCTACCCTCTGCCGAGTCCTCTCCTGGTGGTCAAAGTGGGTCATGATTTTTATGCCTCATCTGTACCAACTTGGCTACAGTGTGTGTAATAGGTGGCACGTGGTAGGTGGCCCAGGCCTGGTCAATTAAGGTAGGGGCTTGCAAATTAGAGACTTGGAACAGCACCACAGCAGTGGGGATGCCAGAGAAGACGGGGCACCCTTCGCCAGCGATGGGGAGGAACCCGGAAAGACTTAGTGAGTGGTCCCTAAGGTAGAGTTCTCGAGCGGCTGCTTCTGGCGGGACCGCGGGTCAGACAGCGGCAGGTGAAGCCGAAGTTGCCTGGGCCTGTCGCTCAGGCCAGACCGGGCTGTGCCCCACCCCGTCCGGGCGGCGCCCCGCCCCTCCAGCCACTGCCGTCCCGCCCCCCCGCCCCCTCCAGGCTGCAACAGGTGCCTTGAGCAGGAAGCTCGCGCCGCCACCCGCTCCCCGGACGCGTCCAGGACCCGCTGCGCCGCGAGCCATCCCGGGCCCCGGCGTGCGCCCCAGACACGGTGACCCCGGTCCGCGCGAGCCTCCTCCCCTCACCGCGACCCTACCAGGCCCCGCAACCCGGCTGCTCCGAGCCATGGACGCCCCGGAGCCGCAGCCCGACCCCGACGGTGGGGACGGCCCAGGCCACGAGCCCGGAGGCAGTCCCCAGGACGAGCTGGACTTTTCCATCCTCTTCGATTATGACTATCTGAACCCCATCGAAGGTCGGTGGAGGCTCTCCCCCCGCCTGGCCCTCGAGCCCTGGCGGGGACATGGGCCTGGGGACCCGGCGCAGGGCTTCCTTCCAGGAGTCTGCAGCAGGGACTGCCCCTGCCCTGGTGACAGGGAGGTTAGCCAGAGAGAGTGGCTGCACCATCCTGAGGGGGCGGTTACCAGTTCCTCCTGAGGGTCGCTGTTAGCATAACAAAGGACGGCCAGGTTCCCAGGACACCCCAGAGGTGGTGACAACGATGTCTTTGCCCTCTGTGAGGGGAGTTGGTGGAGGGGCGTGTGCCCAAGGATGCCAGCCACACAGTCTGACAATCTTACCCCCGAGGCTGTGAGACAGTGACCCTGCGGCGTCCTGGAAGCCGGTTGTTGGGGACTTTGTGTTGAAACTAAGGAAGAGGCCGTGTGTCTCATGCTAGAGAGTGGTTTGCCTGGGTGTCAGGAGGCTGGCCCATTTCCTCTCTGAGTTGACAGTCACCGCGGGTGGACCAGAGCAGCTTACTAAGTGAACTTCCACCAGCCCCTCACCCATGCCATAGGGGATGGGGCACCTGGGCGAGGAGGATGCGGGCGATTTCTGCCTGAGTTCAGTCTGTGCCTTCATTTGCTCTCTGTTGCTGGGGGCTGGGCAGATGCCCCTGCCCACTTCAGTGTTAGCAGCCTTCTGTCTGAAGCTGGAGGGGGCTCTGCGCCCAGCCTCATGTTGTCTGGTTAGAAAGCTTGTTGTCTGGGAGCAAACAAGAACCTAACCAGGTTTCCCGGTTTTAACAGCCCAGCCCATGCTTGCACCAGGCTCAGGGGTAAGCCTGTTGGCAGCTTCCAGATGCCCCCATGGCTCCAGGCTTGCTGGCATCTGGTGCCTGGTGCGTAGGAAGGGCTGAGTTGCTGGGTGGGAAAGATGTCTGTTGCAGAGTCTTGGTGGCATTAACCCTTTGTCCCAGCAGGGTCCTCATGGGCAACCTTTGGGAAGAGACTTGGTTGGTGACAATTTAGTGTTTTGGCTAGAGATGATTACAATAGTGGAGAAGCCAGGCTTCATGTTTTGGAGCTCCATTCTGGAGACAGCCTTCCATTGAAAAGACAATTAGGAACCTGTAAGCCATCCACACATATCAGCATATCAGTGGTCTCTGCGTTCATTAAGATTAAAGTCACAGACCCCTCTCAGGTTCACAGTCTCTCTCTCTCTCTCTCTCTCTCTCTCTCTCTCTCTCTCTCTCTCTCTCTCTCTCTCTCTCTCTCTCTCTCTCTCTCTCTCTCTCTCTCTCTCTGAGGTGAGGGTGGAGGGTGAGGATTTCCGGGGAAATAGTTTCCAAGCCAAATCTGATGGGAGGTGCTTTTTATAGTTTTTCTTGGCAAGCGGGGCTCAGTGGCCAGCAGATGGGTAGCTTAATGACCATGGGAAAGTCTAGTAACCTGTGTTGTTGTTATTTTAATAATAACCCTTATTTTGGGGGTTCCAGCTTCCCATTTAGAGAGGCACTATGACAGTGACCCAGAATTCTCATGTACCCAGCACCCCCTTCCCTCTTGTTAGGGGCCTGGGGCATTAGCAGGACATATCTATTTGATACTGATGTTGGTCATTAAGAAAAGTTCATGCTTTTTCAGTGTGTGTGTGTGTGTGTTAAAAGGCTTGAAGTACTATGTTAGAAATAGGTGCTATAGATACGTTATATGCAGCCTATTTAATTTATGTCTCTGACAGGATATCATGTAGCTTAGGCTGGAACTAGACAGCTTCATCGCCAAAGCATCTTCAGTGCTGGGGTCATGGGCCTATGCCACCATGTTTTAATTTAGGTTTTTGTGATGTTTTTCTCATGGTTACATCAGGGCTAGAGGTGTTTGGGAGACCACAGGAGTGTGGGCCCGTGCTCTTATGTCAAGGCTACACACTATCAGCCTGATTCATTGCTTTTGACCTGACCTTGTCTGCAGGGAAGGACCTGTGGGTTTCTTCCTGGTGACTCTTTTCCAAACTGTGTCCTTAGGAAAGTCACTGGGTGAGACCCTTGCTCAGGTGCAGCCAATGATGCTCTGAGAATGATGCTGTTGGGAAAGCGAGACCTCAGTGTGGGCGGGCAAGCATCACGGAAGGGACTTCCTGAGTGTTGGGAGGCAGATATGAGGTCACCTCTGGGGGCCACCCCTCTCTGTTTCATCATGGTAGGACTCCCCGGGAGCTAGGCTGACCTTTATCCTGATACGAGGCTTTGGTCTAGGATGACCGTGTCCTAGTGATGGGTCTTAGGTTAGCTGGCTACAAGCCTGGACAAATCCATGGGCGGCAAAGGGTCACCAGTGAGACAGATGCCGTGTGAAAACTGGTGAAGGCCACAGGGGAGTTTTGGGAGGTCAGATTGTTGTCGACAGTGGGCTGTGGACTGGCCCAGGCGGTGTAAATCTCTCACCGCAGTAGTGTTTGACTCCTGTTTGACAGAGGAGAGCTTGAAGTCACAGACAGGTGTAGTAAATTTCTAGAAAAAGCAGAGCTAGTCAGTGGCAGAGCTGAAGTCCGAGCCTAGGCAGAAGACAGGAGTGGGCTCGGGCAAGCCATTTAACCTCTGTTTGGACCCTTGTTTGCTTACTTGTAAATGGCTAAAATAATAGTTCTATCATGCAGAGCCCTTTGAGGGAGTTAATCCACCGAAATTATCCACAGTGGGTTTTGTCTCTGCCATTTATTAAACCTTTTCTTAGGGTCAGCACGACCTATTCCTCAGCCAGTCGTCCAGCTAATTTCCTAAGCACCTAGCATGTTATATCCTGGGATTACCCCAAGGCAAGATCCAGATCTGCCCATGCTTAAGTGGTGTCCCTAAACAGGCCTCTCTTGTCTTGTCTTTTCTGGGTGCATTGACTGGTGCCTGAAGTAAAAAGATTACATCAGCGTGGAGATTGTAGGCATCTTTTGTTATGCTCAGAAGGTATCCATTCCTGTTTCCCTGGGAGCCCTGTTAGGAACAGGACTTGACTGGCACAAAAGACATGTGAGTGTCTATGAGAAAATATGATCTTATTCTTAGACCTGTTGTATGTTGGTTTACATAGTAAGAGGTCATCTAAGTATAGGTATATAATATGCACTGTAAGTAAAGTCATCATTCCCAGTATAAACTCTACTTGGCCACTGTGTGTATTTTCTTGTGGTGCTGATATCAGTTGATTAGTGTCTTTCCTGGCAATAGTGCTAAGTGACGCTTCTCTGTGTTGTTCTCCTCATGTGTGCGGTTGGCCTTAAGTTTCTCTCCTTTCTGTGCTGAGGAACTTGTGGGAGTCAGTTCTCGCCCTCCATCGCATGTGGCTGGTTTTGGTGGCAAGCTCCTTGCCCGCAGAGCCATCTCTCCAGCCCTGTGTATGCTCGCTGTTTACACAGGAGTCAGTTTTGGTCAACTGTATCCAACCGGGTTTCCAAATTTATTTGCCTGAAGATGTGTCAAGAGCACTCTCCTTTCTCTTCTGGTGATGAACTGCCCAAGTTTATCCCATGTAGAGAATAGGTTTAGGGTTATAGGCCCTGGCAGCTGCTGCTCACACCCTGGAGGGGCGATGTGTTGCTGTTGGTGACCCCTTCCGATGGAGTGCCCCTGGGCATGCTTGGGGTTCAGTGGATCCTCCTTTCTTCCAATTTGGGATTCCTCTGGAGTCTGTGGTCACCTTCAGAAGTGTCGTGTCACGTGGGTGCTGTGTTAGGGACAGATATGTCGGCTGGCTAACTACCAGTTTGCCTCAGTGGGTCTGATGCGTTCCCTCTTTTGAGTCCCTCAAGTGTATGGGACCAATCTTGACCTTACTGAGGTCAAACAGAGGTTCCTGATCATAGCTTGCCGCTGTTGAGTCTGTTTCCGCCGATCTTACACTGCTGGGCTCACAGTCTTTGAAAAGCTGATGAAAACCACAGACACCACACACACACACACACACACACACACACACACACACACACACGAGTGGCTCCATGAGCACATGTATGTCCTGAGCACAGAGTATACAGAGTATACACTCTCTCTCTCTCTCTCTCTCTCTCTCTCTCTCTCTCTCTCTCTCTCTCTCTCTCTCTCTCTCTCTCACACACACACACACACACACACACACACACCATCCGCCAGCGTCCCCCAGGGCACTGTCCCTCCCATCTCCCACTGCCATGTGCTTTTACACCCTATCTCGAGGGAGTTGTGGACCAATCCCTGATGTCACCTGCACGTCAGCTTGAGAACACCTGCTCTCAGCCCGTTTGCAGGGGACAATGAAAACCTCACCCTTCCAGCAAACACATGGCATGCTGGTTTTGTGCCAGGCCCAGTGGGTGTGGAAATCAATGAGTCCTGGTCCCTGCTTTTGCCTGGCTACCCGGGAGCCAGTGTGGGACTCGGCCTAGTAAACAAATGGGGACAAATGAGGTGCTGTGATATAGTAGCTGGCTTTTGTTTATTTATTTATATTTATTTTTGGTGCTGCTAAAAATAGGACTGTATACTAAGTACGCTGGCTTGCTGAATGCTCATGACATTCAGAGATGCTGCCCTTTGGGTGAAGTTAAGGAAGAGCAATAATGAACCTACTTTAGACAAATAAGGTCTCCAGGAAAAGTGGGCAGAGGCCCAATCAGAGAGGAAGTGGGGCAGGAGTGGCCCCTGTCCCGCTAGCTTGAAAGGCTCACTGTCCCTTCGCATTCAGCTCTAATCTGGAGTAGAGGCTTACGCAGCCTGAAAGCAGCCATGCTCAGATGGGCTCAGGGCCTTGTGCCCCAGCGGGTGGCGAGCCAAGTACAATGACAAAGGCAGGCCTCTCTGGACTAGGAGCACCCGGGTCCTAGTCTTCCTTCGCCTTGAAGCACACAGAGCACCCCAGGGCTGCGGGCTCCGGCTGTACCCAGCAGCCCCACACATGGCAGCACCTGGATGCGAGGGCCCTTAGAAGTGGGAGGGCTGATATCCTCTTTTGGGCCTATGCACCAACGAAACAGAATTGGACAAAGTACAGTGCTTAA